ATTGAAAGAGTCAGAAAAATTAGCAAAATACTAAATACAGTGTCTTCAATTGCTACTGAGTGGTGACCGTGCAGGCCACCCAACTATTTTGCTTGATTCACATAGCTAGAGTCTTCAGTATTCACTGAATGAAAAAGACCACTCTTGCATCAATTTTTGACTAACAAACTCGAAGTCTTGTCTGAACCCCCCCCACCTTTCCCACTGATTTCATTCTGATAATTTTTACAATAAATAATTATAAAATTTAGCACAAAACTGATTTCTGACAAAGTAAGTGCTCTAAACAGAAGATTACAGAGCTCCAGACTAGTACAGAAAGTCTACTAGCATCCACTCACAATAGGTATTCATGACATTTATTTCTTGTAGATCCTGGTATAGGGAAAACCTATTAAGACTGTATGTGCTCCAGCACATCATTAGGTTGAAGAAGGTTCTAGTTTCTTAGGATTCTGTAGGAAACTAGAGTTTGACTATATGGTGTTATAGCTCAACAGACTTATTAAGTTATCCATCTGCTTGTTTAAATGATTAACTATAAAATGCCACTTATATTGTGACAACAAAAATTAAATCTTGCAAGTCCTGCCTGTGCTTCCTCTTCCACAGGAAGTAATCTGTTTCAGTTTTGATTTGTTAAAGAGATACTAATATTTTAGTAATTTGATCCCTGCCCTTTACTTCACTGCAAAAGAAAGTTAAGGGTCTAGCAGTCAAATCAGAATAGGTAAATTATTTAGGGATTTAGGGATTCAGAGGGTCAGGCAGAAGTCTGTTTTTAAATTTCTCTATTATCTGATGTACCTTTAGCTGGTGGAGATTCTTTTGTAGGAACAGGAACAGGCACTTTTTTTCCTGGCAGAGGTCTTTTAGGAACCTCAGGCACTTAAAAAAGAATTCAGTTTGGATTTTAAGTTATTTATGAGGAATTGTAATGGATACAATGACAGCAAGCAGAGCAATCACTCATTTGTATAGGAGCCATTTCATCACTTACGCAGAGACAAGTGAACAGCCACTTATTTCAGAGTTCCTGAGCAATGAAAGCTAGCAATAGCAGTGCAAATCTTTCTGGTACATTTTAGATGCACTTTCTGTTTGGTATGAGGGATCTTATGGTCATAAATTTAAATTATGAGAAGGAAGATCCAATATGAGTTTTAATATCTCTGTAACTAGCAGAAGCTAAACTGGGCAAAAGAAACAAAGATTGATGCACAAAAATATTTAATTCAGGCTGAAGCTGAACTGCATCAGAAAATTATCATTGACTTTGCTTGTGACATATCTATACTAGCTCACGCTTGGCAGTCAGATGTGGAATCCTCCCATTCTACTCTGAAGGGAAGAATTACTTAGGAAGGAATAGTAGAAAAACAAACTTTGACTGGATTTATCATTACCAGCAACAGACACACATAGAACTACAGATGGGAAAAAATATAAATAAACACCCAAAGGAGGCTTAAGCAGTAACTTGGAAGTCAAAAACTGTAAGAATAAAGAAATCATTACTTGATGTACCTATAGCAGGTGGGATTTCATAAGCCTCTTCATACACTTCTTCATATTTCTCATAGATCTCTTCCGTCTCCTTAAACTCATACTTTTCATAGAAATCTTCTTTCTCCTCAGCCTCTTCTTCATATTCCTGTTCCTGAAACTCCTTATATCTCTCAGGTTCTTCAGGTTCCTCATATGCCTCGATTTCTTCACCTTCCTGAACATCCTCAAACTCTTCTATACTCTCGTATGTCTCAAACTTCTCATACTCTTCATATGTATGCTCATATTTCTCCACTGCAGGAGCAGGAGCAGGGACTTTTTCTTTCTGGACAAGTTTCTTGGATACCTCAGGCACTTTAGAAAAAGTATTATTGTTACTAGCTTACAATTATTAATTTTTATTATTTTTTAAGTTGGTCAAGACTATACACATCAAACATAAAATGTATATAACCACCACAAGCATAAGTTACATTAAAATATCAGAACATGGTTCTGAAACAATATATATTATAGAAGATTTTAGAAATTATGAGGAAAAACAAATCTTTGGGAGGATTAAAAAGAAATATATCTGTACCTTTAGTTGGTGTTGGTTCTTTGGGTTTGGACACAACAGCTGACACTTTCTCTTCTGCAACAGCTCTTTTACGCACCTCAGGGGCTTTAAAGACATGGATTTTTTTTAGGAATTTAGAAAATAAACCCCACCTTAAAGCAGAATAAGTAAGTAAAGCACAAGAAACAGAGCTTTATAGTTCTACAATGCAAACATTGATAATGAAGACTTTTAACATAAATTCAAGCAGAATTCTCAAACAGCAAAGAACAAAGTTAGAAAGAATAAAGTCAAGAGTCTTTTTAGCATAAATATTAATAATAACCAAGAGTACATATACCTTTTGCAGTTGGAACCTCCACTTTTACAGGGGGGGCATCAGGTGCCTTCTCTTCAGGAACAACCTTCTTAGGCATCTTGGATACTTTAAAGATAGAACCTATCTTTAGCGGGTTTTTTGCGCAATTTTAAAATGGACAAACCCAGAAGCTTACAAACAGCAGAACAGAAACTTACAAACAAACAAATAGTATGGTGACATATAATACAAGACAAACATACTAAATTGTCCCTTACTAAACTCAACTTGTATGAAGAGTATTATCTATTAATGATAGCAGTATTTGCAGATTACAATACCTTTGGCTGGTGGAGCTGGCACCTTTTTAGGAACAGGTTCTTTCTCTTCAGGAACAGGTTTCTTAAGCATCTCAGGCACTTTAAAGACATTATTTTATCTTAAGAATATCATCCACAAGTAGTATAAGAAAGACAACAGAAAACATACAAACAGACTTACTGAAGTAAGAACTGATCTGCAGAATATATTGAAATGTTTTAAAGAAGATGAAAGAGAAATAAAACCAAAAGACACTTGATATCTGTAGGCAGACTTTTTGAACAAGTCAGATAATTTCAGAGCTTATTTTTTGCTAGGAATTTGGCAATCACTCTGAGACATCAATACAGAAAGACATGGGGAACAGAAAACTAACACAAATAACAAATAAAAGAAATAGAGACACTGAATGACAATAACAACACATTGTTTTCCTAGGTATTAGTTTATGTACCTTTTGCTGGAGGAAGCTCCCATTTCTCAGGAGTAGGTACAGGTATTTTTTCTTTTGAGACAGGTTTCTTAGGAACCTCTGGCTCTTTGAAGATATTATTTTGCAAACACATTTTGAAGTTACTTTCACAGCATTAAAAGCATAAGAATACATGAAACAAGGTTACAAGCTCCCCAAAAAGGTCATAAAAAATTTACATATAACATAGAACAAGAAATAAAGATTAATTTTAAGGAACCCAAAAGATCTCGTGAGTGCCTTCCAAGAAAAGATCATGTACCTTTTGTTGGTATGATTTCTTGTGGAATAGTTTCCTCTTCTTCCTCAGGAACAAAAATGGGAACCTTTTCTTCAGGCACAACTTTCTTTGCCACCTCAGGCACTTTAAAGATATTATTTTAAGAACTTTACTTTCACAACATCACAAAAGGAAATTAGTAACATAAATCACAAGGACACCAACTTTAAAGTAACAATAGTAATAAAGATAAGGGAAACTATTAGTTATTTTTCACTCCCTCAAAACAGCATATTACAACTAGGTTATTAGGATTATACGAAGACTGGCTCTTTTACCCAATTCTTAATTACACAGTGCCATTGACAATGGAAAATATTAGAAAGATATGCTACCAAAAAAAGGTTGTAGAGGATTATTAGCATCTAATTTTTTACCTAAAAAACATTCAGTGTGTACTTTGCAATTCTTTTCTAAAAAACTCAGCTGCTGAGGTAGAATTTCCTCAGCACCAAATGGTAGGCTCTGTGATAGTCTACCTCCACTCTGAATTTCACATTCAGGGCATATTTTCTGGCTATTCATATGGTCAGTTGTGATTTTATTTTATTTTTATATAAGTTTAGCTAATAGGCTTGTGATTTTAGCATAGTCTCAAGGTACGTATTCAGAATGATCTTCCTGAATAGACAAATTTCTAGGTAAAGGCCAATAAAATATTATTCCATGTATTTTGTTTAAATAAAATGTAAATTAGTTTAAAAATATGTTCTGGGTAATGATATCACAATAAATTATTTCATTCACAGCAGCCACTTAAAATGGAAAACAAGGCCTGATTCTCAGTCCACTGAAGCCAATAAAAAAATAGACAACCAAGCACTGCCTGAGACCTAGTACTGCTCACTGCAGGGGAGCAGCAGGGTGCTAGAACCAAAGATCTGGCTTTACATGAGTATAAATTAATTTTTATAATGAGATTCAGCTGAAATACCAATATATAAGGGAGAGGAATCATCTGCATACACAGCACTATGATATACCTTTAGCTGGTGGAATTTTCTTTGCTTTAGGAACTGTAACAGGTACTTTTTCTTCTGGGGCAGCTCTCTTGGGCACCTCTGGCACTTTAAAGATATTATTTTGATAAGAAATTTTTGATTACTTTTAAAGCATGAAAACTACTGAAACCATGGAACAAAGTCACAACAACCAATAAGAAGAAATCTCCCCTCAGAAAGATAATTAAGATTTACATCCATCTTAATCAATAGAGATGAAAATCTTCTAATGAATGAATAAAGCTGTATGATCATTTTCAAGAAGGAATGGTGTACCTTTTGCTGGTATCTCTGGAACAGCTTCCTCTTCCTCCTCTTCAGGAACAAAAATAGGTACCTCTTCAGGAGGAGGTCTTGGTATTTCTGGCACTTCAAGATAGTATTTAATTGTTGAAAACTTAGGCACAACATCAGAAACTGAGAGACAACTTACACAGAAGCTAAAGAGTGAGTTAGCAAGTATGTTTGCCACAAACTGCTATGATACTTCAAATTGTAACAACAAACATATAGAAACAATAAAAAGCATCATCCATATGTTCAGTTATAAGAAAAGATACCTTTGGCTGGTGCAGGTTCTGGCTTTTTAGGTACAAGGATAGGTACTTTCTTTTCTGGAACTTTCTTGGGCACTTCAGGCACTTTAAAGACATTTTTGTTTAAGAAATTAATTTTCAAGGTTACATAAAGCATGATAAATGAATAACTGATATTAAGACAAGTACACGAATATGGTAAACTTCAATTATGTATGAAAGATAACATTGATTTTTATCCACAGATTTAGGCAGAGATGTAAACTTACAAACATACAGACTACAGAAATACAAATTGGCATTATAAGGCTAAGGGTGAAGTCTGACTGTTTAGGTATATTGTTTATCTTTTGAGTCATCTGGTTTTGAATCATCAATTTTAAATAATTTAGATATAAAAGATCCAAAGACGGAGATGATACAAGACACAGAATTTTTCAAAGCATACAGTAAGCATAGCACCCATGACTGGCAGAAACAGCCACAATACAGTGTCTGGTCATAGACAGGTCTATGAGTGGGTCAAACACACTAGGACAAGGAGTGGGATTGTTACTTGCAGTCTTCTAAAGCTGAAGAAGCAAAACTAGAATTATGCAGTTGAACCAGAAACTAGTGTACCTTTGGCTGGTGGAGGTTCTTCCACTTTTTTAGGCACTGGGACAAGTATCTTCTTTTCTGGCACAGGTTTCTTTGGTACTTCAGGCACTTTAAAAATATTGTTGCAGTTTAAGAATTTCATTTTCGAACCATAAGGTAAAGAAAAATTATATGAATTAATAAAGTGGAATGATAAAGAACTGTCAAGAACAGAAAACTATTCACTCTATATTACATTAAAAAGGAAAGATAAACAAAGACCAATTTTTTAAATATTTTTTTTTAACACATTCAGTCAAGAGCTGATATACCTTTGGCTGGTGGAACTTCCTTCTTTTTTGGTACAGGAACAGGAACCTTTTTCTCTTCTGGAACAGGTTTCTTAGGCACTTCTGGAACTTAGTAAGATATTATTGTAAATTGAGCTTGACATAAGAATCTAAAACACCATGACATATATGTCAGTGACACCAAACAATTAAACACAGATACAGAGAACCACAATTCTTAAGAGCAACAATCCTTTTAGTATCCTAGTGTTTAACACAAGTAAGAAAATAAATGAAGTCTAGAAGAACTTTCTGTTCACAGCTAATTACAAGTCCATATACCTTTAACTGGGGGAACTTCCTTCTTCAGCACTTGGACTTTCTTTTCAGGTACAGGTTTCTTTGGCACCTCAGGCACTTCAAAAACATTATTTTGGTTAAAAAATAAACCACAAGTTATCCAGAACAAAAATGAAACAAAAAACCCAGCAGGATAAATATTTAATATGAAGAGCCCCCTCCCAAAAAAATAGAAAAAAGAAATTATAAAGTAAGACATCTGAAAAATACTGTGAATTACATATTCAGAGGATGTCTGCTGAAATAAGGAAATTATATATACCTTTTGCTGGAGGAACTTCTTTTTTCTTCAGAGTAGGTATTTTTTCCTCTGACGGAGGCTTTTTGGGAACCTCAGGCACTTGAAAGATACCATTAATGTTTTAGGTATTTACCTCTAAACCAGTAAGAACATAACATGCAAACAAGCATCACAAATACACACCCAAAACATACAGGAATGACTTAACATGGTTTGATCACGAAGAGAAAATAAAATCAGAAACAGGTTGTATTAACTGCTATTATGTCCATTCTCCCTGCTCAGCCACTGAGGCCACGAATAAAAATGTTTTTAACTTCAAGGGCTTATTTGCTGATCAAAAGATTGAGTTAGGACATAGTTTAACTTTTTAGAACACGCTATTAAAAAAATGATGAAGCATCATGGTGGGGAAACTTGCAAAACCACAATTTCACTTTTCCTTCAGTTTTTGGGTGTTCATTACAAACAATGTAATAAACGACTACTTAATTGCTGTGTTAGGTATTTAGTGGATTTACTACTTCTCCTTATTTTTCCCTAGAGCTATGATACTAACTTTTATCAGCCATGAAATAGGTTGCCTGATCATGTTGAATAAGCCAGTTTCATATATGTACTGAAACTGCTGATTACATTTTCTTCCTCAGAAATTGTCAAGTGCTTTCTACATGCAAAAAGCAAGCACATCAAATTTTTCAGCTGATTTACTTCAAACACAGAACTATGGACACATTATAAGTACCTACCTGTTTATATCACAATTTGCTGGGTAATGACAATGTTTAAGAGTGATTTAATTGAATGAAAAAGGAGAAAACCTTGATTCTGCTGAAATCAACAGGTTTTCCTTTTAACTGCAGTGATGCAAAGTTCAGCTAAAATGTACCTTAAACTTTTTTTGTGCTCCAAAACCTAGAAACATTCATACAAGTTTTATGATGACAGGAGAGTAATCCCACTTGCTCTGAGCTAACTAATCTTCCTGTTCAGGATTAACCTGAATTTTGCAGCGCACAGCCTGGCCTTTTCTTTACTAAGAAAAATGTGCTAATCAATATGACAAAATTCTACTGCGAACAATCTTAAATATAGTTTTAGCATACCTTAATTAGTCAAAAAATTCTGAACTTCTTTTTGGGGAAGACAGACTATGGAACAATTTGGATCAGTACTGGAAAATATACATCTTTACATACTCTTAGATGATTATGTGATTTTGGGAAATCAGAAATCTTTATATTACAATGTAGAAAGGTTTTATCTTGGTGATATAGTTGTCCTTTCTAAGTAGTGAATAGTTAGTTCATCCTGTACTAACAATGGTAAAAATTTACACCAGTACCAAATAAAATTCTTCCTAAGGAAAACACCTAAACCTAAGATTATTTAAATATGGCAATTTAATAGGACTTTTATATCTTTGCTTTCCCTGAAAATATATTTTTCCCTTGAAGAAATAAATAACCAGCAACTATAGGGTTTTTGAATATTTCTCAGAGGAAGTCCATGTGGCTTGTGTTTGTAAATCACATATTTTTCAATTACCCTACCTATTTTTAAGATAAACATATTTTTTGTCTGTAGTTGCAGAATTCTTATATCCGTTTTTAAGTATTTCAAGCACAGTCTGATAACAAAATTGGACCCCAGAAGAGGACGAAATAAAGTTCAGTTAAATTTTCTTGGTTGTTATACAGACTTCATATGAAAGAGGAATGAACATGTATGACATGGAACGTTTAAATTTGTAGAGGTAGTAGTAAAGAATAGACATACAGCCATCACACATTTTTCTATACTATATACTAATATTAAACATCTTGAAGAAAGGTACATTGTAAAGCATACTGGAACATATTAAACCAAAATTTTGTTATACTAACAGAATTGAAAGATATTACTTTTTCTCATAAAAATCCTAAAATTAAAGTATACCTCTAACTGGTAGTCGAGCCTCCTCTTCATACTGTGGAATTTCTGGCTCTTCCTCCTCATATTCAGGAACTTCCTCTTCATAATAAGCAGCTTCTTCTTCATAATGTGTGACTTCTTCCTCTTCATATTGAGGAACTTCCTCTTCATACTGAGGAACTTCCTCTTCATACTGAGGAACTTCCTCCTCAAAATGACTAACTTCTTCATAATGGTGGACTTCCTCCTTGTAATGGATTACTTCCTTCTCATATCTGGTGACTTCTTCCTCTTCATATTTTGGAATCTCTTCTTCCTCTTCATACTGAGGAACTTCAACATACACTTTTTCTTTTCGGACAACTGTCTTGCGTACTTCAGGCACTTAAAAAGATACCAAGTAAAAGAATCTTAAAATTTATCACATAAATCTTACTAATAATAAGGATCACAAGGCATTGCCAAATAAGAATTAAATCAAAGGAAGAATATTACATAGAAAACAAATCAGTATTCTCTGTACATGGAACATACAAGACACAAAAAACCACATTTATAACATATTTCAATTCCCTATCCGGTATACCTTTGGCTGGTAGTCTTGCCAGTTTTTTAGGAGGAGAAGTTCTTTCTTCTATGATAGCCCTCTCAGGTACATCTGGCACTTAAAAGATACAGTATATTTACATTTAAGAATTGTTAAAAGTGTTGTTTAAAAGCAAAAATATTCTTGCCAAGAAACAAAGAAACATATCTTGCAAATATATAGCTTATATGTGAAAGACAAGTGCGTTTAGTGACACTGGACATGTAATTATGGAAGCCATTAGGCCGCTTTTCAATTAAATGACAGCAAACATTTCAAGATCCCAATATAAAAAGCTGATATGATTCCTGCTTCATCCATTGCTGCCAGCAGTGAAGTTAAACTTGCTGAAGGGCAGAACTCAAAATCTAAATTCATCAAACTACAAAATCATTAAATCCCACTGTTCTCTGTGCCAGCCCCACTCCAGAGCAGTGACACTGCACTACCTCAGTAATAGATCAAGAGCCCTGAATCTGATAAAAAAAGATTTGTATAGAAAACTGGAGATGAAGATGAGAGCACATATAGAAAACCTTGTGACTGGCTAACAATGGGTAAGAGCTCTGGTCTAATTAAATGCAAAAGAATTGCTTGGTGAGGAAGGTATTTTTCCTCTTCTGTTGATTGCTTTACAAAGTGGCTTGTTTGTTCAGGCATAGCAAGGAGCCATTCCCTATAAATGCAAAAAAATTCCAAAAGATTAAGGTGTGAATACATTCAGGTTTTAT